TCTCCTGCCTCCGCCTCCCAAGTAGCTGGGACCACAGGCGCCCGCCACAAAGCCTGGCTATTTTTTGGTTGCAGCCATTATTGTTGTTTGGCGGGCCTGGCCTGGATTGGAACCCACCACCTTAGGTGTATGTGGCTGGCGCCTTAGCTGCTTGAGCCACAGGCGCCGAGCCGCCAGTGATATTTCTAAAGTGAAAATTAGATCTTATTACTCCCTGACTGAAGAGTCCTCCATTTGGTCCTTGTTAGGTTCAATAATGCTATCAAAATCACCTATAGAGCTTTCCAAACAGATGATTGATTCCACCCAATGATGAATAACAATCATAATTGATATTTATGTCTCAGGTATTGGACTATACATTTTATTACATGTTTCTCACTTAATCCTCACAATGATTTCACAAGTAGGTATTCGATTTCACAACTGTGGGTAGTGAAACAAGAACTTAGGGAATTTGCCTCACTGAACCATACGGCCAGGAAGGAAGCTAGGCAGTCTGACTCCAGAGTTCAACTTCTTTAACTGTAAGGCCTTTCCAAGTGACAATCTCTGCATGTGATTCCAACAGGTTAACTTCCTTAGAGCAGAATGGATCCTGTTTTATGCTCAACATGGAGCCCTCGATGGCCAACACAGAGCCTGGCAATAGGAGTTGGTCTATGAGCAGATGTTGACACCCAGGTGGTGAAATGCCAGTCGCAGATGACCAGGGCCTTAGGCGCCCACGTGCGTGGGACGTGCCGGGTCCGCACGCCTTCGCTGCTGCGGGGTTTTGCCAAGCCTGGCCACCACCTGAAGGCGGGGCCGCTGGGCCTGTAGCAGCTGGAAAACTCTCACCCTACGGCAGGAAGTTGGGCGTGTGGCTTCCGGCGCGCGTAGATGACGTGCGGCTGGGGCTTCCGCGTTGGGGAGCAGGCAGTGGAATCCCAGACACTGAAGGCTGAAGTCCCGGCAGCGGGGCGGCCTGCGGGCCCAGGACTGCGATGCACCGCCGAGGGGTGGGAGCCGGCGCCATCGCCAAGAAGAAGCTTGCCGAGGTAAGAAAGAAGACGGCTGACGACAGCCCATCCCTGACCCTTGAGATTCTGAATTCTCCTGGAGCAGATGTACCTTTAATCGCTTCCTATAAAAATCTAAGACAAGCTTCTCGGAACCCGGGGAATTGAGTTTCTCCAACTCGGTGGTTTGGAGGGTTATCTCCTCCAGCTCCACAAGCCCTTTCCTCCAGTTGCCCAGGTTTGACTACAGACGAGATTCTATGCCAGAATCTACAGTGGTTGATTTTACTCTCAACCTGTGCTATACTTTTCCCGAAAAAAAAAAAAAGAAAGAAAAATGACTCTCCTCTATTCATACTATACTTATGGCAGCCCAAGTGGGAGCCCCCAGCGCCGATTCACTTAACTCATACTCATCTCTTTGTCTTATAGGCCAAATATAAGGAGAGAGGGACTGTCTTGGCAGAGGACCAGCTGGCCCAGGTGAGTTGGTTGTAAGGCTCCTGGAAGGCGGGGAGACACTTTGATGTCAACGTGACTGTTAGATTGAATTAAAAATGGGATGTTTGGCCACTCTTGATTTTGGGGTAGCTAAAATAATCTAGGTGATTGCTAATAATAATAGCTAACATCTTTGCGTAATTACATGCTTATGATGTCCTAGGTTTTGTCTCTTTTACTTAGGTACCCTCTCTTTCTTATTCAGTTCTTGTTACAGGCCCATAGGGAAGGAACTCTCTTATTCTGAGTTTCACATTAAGGACACTGAAGTGTTAATTTGTCCAACGTTATATTGATGTAAAAGGTAAAGCTGTTTGGTTTAGGTCTTTTGGGACTTTTACTTTAAATGCCTCAGAATAAAATGAAAACTGCCTAACCTGTGGAACCCACCACCACCATCATAACATCTAGGCACACACCAGGATGTGTGTGTAATGGGGGTGCAGCCACTGTACCATTTTCTTCTCTAACGCTTCCTTTTTTTGTACATACTTTGACTTAACTAGTTATTGTGGTTGAAGAGGGGGAGTAGGCAGTTAGGCAGGAAAATGGGCTCTTGACCTGAGGAAAAGTAAGCTGTTGTTGGGGTAAAAGATGGACTTTATTAATTAGAAAAAAAGAAGTGGTAATACAAATAAAAAAATCAGAAAATTGGCTCGGCACCTGTGGCTCAAGTGGCTAAGGCACCAGCCACATACACCTAAGGTGGCGGGTTCGAATCCAGCCCGGGCC